TGGAGAAGTTTTAACTAAGTAATTTCAACTTTAGTCCATCCTAATGGCATATGAAGTTCCTTTCCAAATATTTCCCTTCACAAAACCTTCTACCACTTTCCTTGCATTCAGATTTTATCCCAAGCCATTTCTCTCTGAACAACCAGTCTCATTTTATGACAAAATTACTTTCTTTTTTCCTTTAATAATTATATTTCCATTCCTTACATCTTTCTTACACACACAGAGTTGCTTACCTTATTACATTTAGCAGAATCTTAACTCTTAGAAACGTTTGTCTCCAGGGAAAACTAAGTAGGAACCAATTGTGAACAGTTACACCAGAATATTTAGATGGTAAACTTATGAATCAGTTAAGCGCAAATCATGTTTTCCAACAGACTTAAATATCCTTAGTTTCTCTATAATAATCAGCCAAAAATACAAACCTATTTTCAGTAATCAATGCTGTAGCGCTCAGTCCAGTTGGAAAAGACCTAGATGTCCAAGAATTCAATCCCATTTATCATCCAATCAAAACTTTAAATTTCAGGTTACCAAAGACATTGAAAGCTAGCCTAACAATTATCCATGAAAAATTTCAGACAAAATTAACCATCATTCTAAGTCATCTTTCTTATTAACAAATTGCAACAGAGATAACACAAGCTTATTTGACCTTCAGCAAACCTAGGTAGAATGTTTCATATTTAATGCTGAAAATGTATCTAACTTAATAAAATCAAAAAACTTAAATTAGTTTAAATGCTGCATGTTTCACCTAGGTCCACTTAAAAGAAAAACAATGAATCTTGGAACACTACACCAAAAACTAATGATGTACTGCATGGTGACTAACATAATAAAAAATAATTTAAAAAAAGATAATCAATTTGCTCCCCATTGTCAGTTCTTACCTGGGACGCGTCGGAAATCGGAAGTGAGTGGTGTGATGTCTAGGGGGTGGTCTGCGCTCCTAGACAGGAAGGGGAGGAGGAGGAGCCAGTGGTGCCAGAGATACTCAGGATGGTACAGCAGCCAGGTAGGCAGGCCACAGGGATGGTGGTGCAGAATCAGGAGGTGGGGTAGGGGAAGGCAGAAGAGGTGAGGTGGCCCATGGAAGGCTGGAGGCAGATAAAAATTTGGACAGAAGAGAAAAAGGTCTCCCAGTTCGAAAGTATGTCAGCTCTGGCAGAGGAGCAGATGCAGGTTTTGGGTTTTTATTTTTCCCCCAGTGAGTGGAATTAGGACATCCATGTCAGTCCAGAGAAGACAAGGAATTTTCCTGAAACAAAGAGAGTTTCAGCAGCTGCTTGAGAATATTCTTTAAAGTCCCTGTCCTGAGGTAAACTAAGCACAGTTATTCCCATTAACCGGGGAAGTGAGGGAGAAGCCTCCACATCTACTAGGAGGAGCAGTGAGAGAGACAGCCAGTCTGACAGGGAGGCCCGAGTTTCCTTCAACAACCTGGGGTTATTCAGAGGAGGCCTGTTTACATAAATACCATCCAGTATGTCAGAGGGGAGTTGGCTGCTCTGGTTACTAACCAAGCATATCCTGCAGAAGGCCCTTAGGTCCAGGTCCTGATTTAGAACCCTGAAGGCTTGGATGGACCTAGGGTAATTCCATCCATTTGCCCTGAAGCCTTACGCCCAGGAGACCTCAGAATGTGACTGTGTGTGGACACAAGGTCTTTAATAAAGAGATGATTAAGTTAAACTGAGGCCATTGGGGGTCCTAATCCAATCCGACTGGTGTCCTTATGAGATTAGGTCACAGAGTGAGAGAGACACCAGGGATGTGTGTGCACTGAGGAGCAACCATGTGCCTGATCTCAGAGCTCCAGCCTCCAGAGTTCCAGAACTGTGGGGACATAAATGTCTGGTGTTTAAGCCACTCAATCTGTGCGCAGTGGCCTGGAGGCCTGAGGTAATACAGTGACCTCATGTACACACACCAAGCCCCAACAATGACCCCCTTACACACACACATTGAGACCCCAAACTCCCACTGGCCCTTCCATGCATACACATGCACACATGCACAGTCACCACTTACACACACTCGGGCCCCTCTCCATTCTAACTGGATGCTAGGATTAGGCCAGTTTCAGGCCGTCTCTTGATTCTTATTCATGGTTGGATCAGTGAACTCATCGCGACATAACCAGCGTGTCTTCATTTGTCCAACACGTACCTGAGGTCCCTTCAGGGAAGCAGCCACGACTCATAATCCTGGAGTGTCGGGAGGACAAGAGCACACGTCTCCCCGAAGGAGCGGCTCTGGGCACCCACGGCGGCTGCGTTAGCACAACTCTGGGGTTCTGGATTGTGCAACCGTTTTCAAAAACCAACTGACCAGGGATATAAGCAATAGCTTACTGAACATATGTGGAACTTTTAAAACGTTTTGTTGGTAATTCAGCAGAAGCTCCATGAGCCTGCAGATCCCTGGGGTCACAAGGCCGTTCACAGCAGCATGGACACTGAGAAGTGCTGGATAACTGGGAGTTCTGCTTACAGGTCTGTCAGATGAGCTCCTTCCCCAGGGTTTCATGCAACCAGATTAAACTAGGTATAAACTAGTATAAACTAGCCAGAATGAATCCAAAGATGAGGCATCCTTGATTCATACCTCCACACCATCTTTTTTCCAGTAGCTGGAAAGTTAAAGTGTCGAAGTCATCAAAACTTGTGTTGACATGTTTGATCGTCTCCAGATATTCCTTCAGGATCAGGTTGGGCACTTCCTCACAGCAGCCACCCCAAGCAGGCCAGGCCCACCAGGTTGGCCATCCCACTCTCTCTAGATGACAAAATGTTCTGGAGCAGTGGCCTATATGGCCGTAGACTGTGGGAGCTCAGAAACCAGGAGGGCTAGACCTCCTTTCCCAAACCAAGCTTAGGTCTTGACCTTTCTGCCCCTCGGGGTGAGGGGGGTGTGTGCTCTATTCAGGAGCTGGAACCTGACCCACGTGAGACAAATGGGGCCCAACCTCCAGGGCAGATCAGTGGCTATGCCATGTCTGGCTGGGCCCTCTTACCAACCATTCTCAACCAAACACCTCCTCTATCCATTTGGGGTCCAAGACTCCACAGTGGGGTGATGTGGACCTCAGGGCTATTTCCGGACTCCCAGGATATAGGGGATAAAAGAAGAAAGCAGCCCCAACTGGAAGTCATCTGTGACTAGTGGGTCAAATTATTTGTAAAGACATTCTCCAGGCAAAACAAAAATGTCATAGCCAAGGAGAGTTCTCCCTGCCCATTATCCTGATGCTGGCATCTTTGGGGACGTATGTGCCCACCTACATATGAGCCTGAGGAACAGGATCACATGAACACTGCACCTTGTCCCCTGCTTTCCAGACTAGGAGGAGTGTCCCTGCTCCTTCCTACCCTGCAGGCAGGGGCCTGGAGTGTGTCTAGCTGGTTTTTCACTGCTCACGGGGGTGAGCCTGCTACAGAGTCCATCCTTGGCATCTCATCATACAAGGGAGACAGTTCCTCCACACAAGCACCAAGAGGTGGTGAGGCCCTGGGCAAACGAGCACTGAGGCTGAGTCCTTTATAGCAAATGCAGGCCGTCAGAGCACAGGGCTCAGTGGCTAGGCCAGCTGCCCTGTCCCAAGTGGGGGTGGGACCTGAGACCTGCAGCACAGGTAGTGATGGTGGCAGTGAAAGAGCATCCGAGTCGACCCTGGACCATCCTGATGAGCCAGGGACCCCACATGGATGGATACAGGTGCACCGAGTGAGGGCTTCCTGCTCTTCCAACAGAGTCGGAGTTTATACTCCCCTCCCATGGCCTTTCTCTTCCAGTGCAGGGGCCCAGCGGGATATACGGACAAAGCCAAGTGTCCACCATCTCTGCTTCACCTGCAGTGAATGAAAAGGCTCATGGACTTGCTGCCGGTTTGTTCCCAGCAACATTTCTGCCCTCATCTGGTTGGTTGGCAAATGCCAACTTCTCAAAGGAACGACCTATCTGTCCTTCCGAGCCACGTGCCTTCCTGACAGCCACACAGTGGAAGCCGGCCGATGCCCTGTCCCCACTCAAGCCTGCCTACGAGCGCCTCACATAGTGACTGGTAGGCACATGGCACACAGGCCGAGTCAGACTGAAGAGCCATGGCTTCCAGCGGCAGCACACAGCGAGGGCCCTGTTGGGGGCTCGGACTCTCCTAGAACGTGAGAGCTTGGGAAGAGTTGTGGTCTTGATCCCCTTTGGCCAACCCTGGAGCCTAATAGCCATGGCAACAAGAAGGTGCTGCAGGTCAGAGCTCCCTGTACTGAATGACCACTGCAAGCACCAGCTTACCTGGCATCCTGCTTCCTGGCCCCAGTCCCATACTACTTCCCAGAGCCAGTGAGGCCAAAGGCCCTCTGTGACTTCACTGCTCAGTCTCCAGCTTTCCAGAAATAACAGTTAGGTCCAAGAATGCCACAGGGGACGTGACTTAAACTAACATGTCAGATGCTCCAAGACCCTGCCCTCGGAAAGCAGGCACCTGAGGGCAGAAATGGGGCTGCCTGCCAGGGACAGGCTCCAGCCCACCTCCCTTCCAGCCAGGCTGGGACACAGGGCCCTCTTATCGTCGACACGTGAATTCTATTATTACACAAACAATGGATTCATCACAGAACACTCAGGAAACAGAGAAGAGGATAAAAGAGAAATAAAAACCTAATAATGCCACCAGTCAGGTCAACCTGCGCCGATCCTGCCAGGATTTTCTCTCACGGGAGCAATGCACACCCGTCGTCACCTAGAAAGACACCGACACCCCCCGCCCCCGTTCCCTGACTTGGCTCAGTAAGGCACTTTCTTCCCAGATGACGAACTGTTCTTAACTCCAGTGTTACTGGGTTGGGGGTAATCTAGAAGCAGAACCAGCCCACCTGTGTCTCCGCTGAAAGGTGGGCACGCAGGCGTCCCCGGTCCTTGGGGTCCCAAACAGCCGTCTCCGCAGCAGAGAGCTACAGGTCAGCAGTTCCCTTTGCTTTGAATTTCTTGGCAGATCATTCACTTAACCAAAGTGGGAATTTGCTTCCATAAATGTAGGAAATGAAGCCATCGATTTCCACTGCGAACACACAGTTTAGCTTGGGGATAACTGTAAGTTTCAAAACCAGGAGAAAAAGGACAAGGCAAAAAAAAATCCTGACAGTTAAGCTCATGCTGAAGCACAAGACCTTCCTTAAATGTCTGTATTAGAATGTAAGCTAGTAAGGAACGGAGAGTCCGCAAAACTCAGCAGCACCAGGACAACAGGGCGTTTTTCTGCCCTAAGACCGATGTATTCAGATTTTAAGTAAAACTCAACACTAATTTTCATGGTCAAAGGCTCTAAGCCAAACTCCCAGAAAAAGTGTGAGAAACGGGTCTCCCCGTGTAGTTTTCAGACTGACTCATGGCTTTATACCATGCGTGAGGTCATCCAGACACCACTTTCTGAGGTCTAAAATGAGACAAGAACATACAAGAAAACAGAAGGAAGCAGCAAGAAAAAAAACAAACCTCAAAATAAAGGAAGAAAAACTTCCCGCTGTGGTTTTGCAATCTCAGATCTGCTGGTAAGGGGTGTGGAAATGTCAACAGTGCAGGGGCTTATGCTCGTCTCTGCCAGAACAAGGAGCTCTGGCACACCCAGCAGGTGAGGCTGAACGTGCTTTCCTGGAACCCAAAGGGTTACCAGAAAGGGCCAGATCCTGGAAGCCCAGGGACAAGCACTAAGCTGGCTCTCTTCAGGGTCTGCTTAGCTCCATTCTTTGGAGGGGGGGGCACCAGGTTGGGGCAGGAGAGGGTCTCAGTCATGGAAATGGACCCCCGTATCTGGAAGCGCAGCCCAGGAGCCCTCCTTTCAGTCCTATCTGGCTGCAGCTGCTGGCTGGGCTCCAGATGCCCTGGGGAGAGCTGGGAGGGCAGGGGCGCTCGAGGCAGGCATGGGATGCAGGGCCAGCAGGGATCTGCAATCTGTGCTGACCTAAGAGGCCAAATGGACCTGCTGAAGCCACAAGGAAAGGGCCGACGAAGCAAGGGAGGCCACAGGACACAGACCCTGAGACAGTTCCATACCTTTCAGGCGGTCTTCTTTGGTGAGGATTTTAAAAACGTGCTTTGTTTCCTGTAGGAGGATTCCTGTAATACCCACATAGGACGGGCATTTGGACTTTGTGACTGCAAAGGAAAAGGACATTCAAAGGCCTCAGCCTTGGGGGCGCTGGGCAGCCACAACCAGCTAGGTAGCGGTGGTCTGGAGTGGGGGGCTCCTCAGCTGGACAGGGACCAAGCTGGATGAGAGTCCGGGGTCCCAATCCCGTGCTTGTGGCTCTGGAGCTTCTGGGCTGTTCTGACAAGATGTCCTTTGGAGGGCCTGCAGCCACAGGGGTTTTGGGAAGGACTCTGGAGCAAAGAGGTCACATGTGTGTCCAGCACCACCAAGATCCACAGGTTGCTGGGATGGGGTCAAGTCTCAGTGATGGGATCTGAAGGTACGCCTGTGCATCACATCCTTCCCATGACCCACCAAACTCTGGCCAGAATGGGATCTTGTTACAGGTGGTGAAGCATAACTGAGGTGAACTGCCACCATAGGCAGCCGGGCCCTTGGCTCTCCTGACCCATGTCCCATGAAGCCTGTAGACAGGTCACTGAGCACCTGCCACGTGCCTGGCACTGTCCGAGATCGGTGCTGGGCGCAAGGGTGAACAAGACTGTTCTCGGTTCTGCTCTCAAGGAGCGGATGTTCTAAAGGTAGGAGGGAATGTGTGCCACATCAGACGACTGCATTTTCTGATCATGGTAACTGTTATGAAGAAATATACAAGGTCATGGGGAGAAGGCTCACTGTTGGTGATGGTAGGCCCTCGGGGGAAGTGACGTGTGAGTAGGGACCTGAATACTGAGAAGCAGTCAGTCTGTGACACACAGAACTCTGGGCAGAGGGAAGGAACAACGGCAAAGGCCTGAGGTGGGGCCAAGCCTGGTGTGTGAGAAGCAGAAAGCAGGCCAAGGTGGTTAAACCTGGTGCTCAGGAGAGGCAGAGGGGCCTTTTAAACCACAGTAAGGAAGCAGAAGACAAACATGGCCTGAGTTTTGGCCTTAAACCTTCCCTCGGGCTGCCTGGTTGGGGAGAAGCAATGTGTCAGCAGGGAGAGGGCGAGGCAGCTTCTACTGGAATCCAGGGGCGATGGTGGTGGCTTGGATTTGGGTGCTAGGATGGGCTGATGGATGGTGCTGAGGGAGCAGGGAATAAGAAAGGTGTTACCGCCCAGGTTTTGGGTGAACAACTAGGGTAAACACTGGTACCATGGACAGAGCTGGGAACACCAGGGCAGGGGCTGATGTGAGGAGGCCGGAGTTGTTCTGGGTATGGACAGGTTGTGATGCCTCCTGGACAGGAGGGCAGCTGTGTGCAGGGCGGCTGGATGAATGACGATGCTCAGGGGAAGGTCTGCCCTAGAGATGACACTGGGAGTTGGGAGTCCGTAGCTGAGACTGAAAACTGTGGGGAAATGGATGAAAGGGACTTTCCACTCAGGGCTGGGGACATGTGCCAGCAGCTGCTGTGCCCCCTGGCAGAGTAGCAGGGGTCCCTGTGTGGAAAGGCACACAAACCATTTAGAGTGTATCCAAAAAGTGGCCAGAACTGGCTCGGGTAGCTAGTCCTCTCCCACACTCAACGCTGGTGATCTGGAAACGTCCACGTGACAAGAGTGTGTCTAGCCCTGTGTCACAGAGCCATGCTGCTCTGTGGGCTCGTAGGTGAGGTACCTGAAACGAGAGCCCCGTGAAGATCTGCCTTGAACAGCTTGGTCTGAACCATGTGCGGCTGCCTAGAAGGTAAGCAGAAGGCCTCCGTGTTGACCATGAGCGAGAGCTCTGAATGGGCACACAGGTCTACGAACTTCTGCAGCCAGCTGGCTCCGAAGGCTGCATTCACAGTCATCATAAGCCTTGGGTTCTGCGCCAAAGGGCAGGGCTGCAGACATGCAACTTCTGAAACATGCGGGCAGCATGCTCTTTGGCAATAAACCCAAGGGATGATTCTGTCTAGTGCCTGTAAAAGCTGTAAAGAGTATATACTAAGATCCATCAGTTCCTATCTCTCTGGGAAAGCCGAAAGACAAACAACCTGTTGCCATAGGTAACAAACTCACTTTCGGTGCGGGTCTCATTAGTTAAGGCTAGGACAGGAGCCAGACAGTCAAACAGCAAGACCCTGGCTGTGCCTTGCTGTGAAAGCCAAGTGCAAACCCAGCCTGAGTTGGGAAAGGGAGGCTGCCCCCTCGTGGCGGCAGTGGGAGAAGCTCCCTTAGCTTCAGGGGAACTGGGTCTCCCAAAGCCACACCCACTCCAGGAGGAGGAAGCTGCCTCAGGGAGAAAGGCAGGAAAGCCCTGGCATACCCCTGCCGCTCTGGCTTAATGTCAAAGAGGTGCAGCTCCCTCCACTGCCTGGCAGAGAGGCCCTTGGATTTCTTTCTCTTCTCCTTGCGCTTCCGGCGAGTGGCGTACTCCAGGACCACAGCCTTGCGTTGCAGCTGGTCCTCGCGGGCTTGCTGGCTCATGCGGGGCGTGCTGCGCTTCAGGAAGGCCCTCACGAAGGCCTCGGCTTGCTGGGCTCCCGGAAGCTACATGGGGACAGGGCAGCACGGCGCCCACTGTTCTGGTGGGGGCAGCCCCAGACCCCAGGCCCTCCTAGACACCGCAGGTGGGATGCCTTCCCTGACCCATCTGTCTCCGGACTGAGCCCCACACAGCCTCTCGTCTGCTGAAGGTGAGCTCCCCACAGCTGTCCAGATGTGAAAGGCACCCTCAAATACCAATTCAGATGCTGCACAAAACAGCCACATCAAAATTCAACTTCCTACTCTACGTTTCTGAGGTTATTTTGAACGGATTAAAAAAAAATCCCCAAGACCCTTTATATTAGGAAGAACAGGCTTCTCTGATCCTTGGCAGGGTGGAAAGCTCGAGAAACGTATGCCAACAATATTTATTCAGTCACAACCAAATGAAGGCAAGCTATGGCCTCGAAGGAATTATCTGAACACTTGGGAAAACAATACCACCTGATGCCCCAGGGTGGGCCACGCCTTGGGGGACAGGAATCTGACAGGGTGCCCATGTGGCAATCCCCTTTACTTGGGTTTGACCCCATGGATGTGTCGTGGCTACTCGCTAAGTCTGTTCCTGCAGCACTTGGGGGAAAGGAAGTACCAGTGCATCTCAGCCCCCTGGGCTCACTCTCTCCCAAGAGCACAACAGCACTTGACCGTGACTCAGCACAGACTCCTAGGACATGTGGGCAAAAGAATTGTCCTAACAGTGTGAAATTCTTGAGAGAACTCCAAATGTCACTGCCTCTCACGTGGGGAGTTCCACTGGTCTACTCCTCATTCGGCTGCCTGTGTCCTAGGCTGGCCACAGCCCGGGCAGCACAGTCTATGCAGGTCCTGCCTCTTGGCTGGGGATTTCCTGACCCCCTGCTGAGCTAAGCAGGCTGTAAACCCTGGGAAGCTAATGTGTCAATAATCACGCTCTCCCTTACGGAGAAGCGGGGCTGGCAAAGGGATAACGTGATACACTCGACCTTCAAGGCAGCTCACAGTCAGGAGGGCAGTCAGCTTCGACTTTGCACCTTAGATACTAACTAAAGATTCATTATCGTCAGTATTATTACCGTGATGGGACAATTACTTATTTTTTTAAAAAATACCTAAGTGGCCTTCTTCATGAAGAAACCAAATAAAAGTGTATCAGTCTTTCAAAATCTTGATTTCCTGTTAACTCCCTCATTAGGAGTCCCCAGTGGAGCATCTGTCAAACTGACAAGCATGTTGGCAGCACCGAGATACAATCCAGAAATGCCACTTAGGAAATGTGATCACCTGCCCTCTTCAAGAGCGAAGGGGGTGCAGTGACAAAGCCAAATGACAGTGCTCACCAGGGCAGGTTTCAGGTGGGCATAGCCAGTGTCCCCTACACAGTGGGAGAGGACACAGGATCAAGAGGTCCCAGTTAACCAAACAAGGGAAAAAGAGGGCAGCATCTGGAAACAGGCCATCAGAACAACAGATCTCAACGGAGCCCAACACATCCACTGGAAGGATGAGGAGTAAGACATGGGAAGGACATCTAAAGCAGTGCTAGGGGATCGAGCCATCCTTGTCATCACCTCTGCTGCTCCCAGACTTCCTGCCATGCACTGTACCTGAACGTCGAGCTCTTTGGCCTCTTTCTGAGAAAAGGCATGGTAGATCACACTTGGGGGATTCAAACAAACAAGAAACGGCCAATTCAGGTTGGGCATGACTATCAGACTCATGACTTTTCTAACTATGAAACTATGGTTAGAGATAGGAGAAGACAGGGATGCTACAGAGAGCACAGACTTCTAAGCTTTCTTGGATGCCTCTTATTCTACCCTCTGGCCAACCATCTTAGGAGTTCCAAGAGTGTGCTTTCAAACAGTGCTTCTGGGGAAGCCTTGTTGGCTCAGTCAGTTCAGTGCCCAACTCTTGATTTCAACTCAGGTCATGATCTCAGGGTCCTGGGATTGAGCCCTGTGTCTGGTTCTGCATTCTAGGCGAGTCTGCTTGAGAATCTCTCTCCTTCTGCCCCACCCCTCTAAGTGCTCTCTGTCAATTAAATAAAGAAATCTTTAGAAAGAAATAAAAATAAATCAATGCTTCTCATATGTTAATTAATGTAGGAAACTAGGTTCTTATTAAAATGTAGATATCTAGGCCCCACACCCAGGTGTGGCATTTCTCTCTTTTTCTTTTTCTTTTTTAAGATTTTTTTTAAAAGATTTATTCATTTGAGAGAGAGAGAAAAGAAAGTGTACACAAGCAGGGTCAGATAGAGAAGGAGAAGCAGACCCCCCACAGAGTAGGGCTTCTGAGAAGCAGACTCCCAACTGAGCAGGGCATCTGATGCAGGGCTCCATCCCAGGAACCTGGGACCATGACCTAAGCCGAAAGTAGAGGGTTAACCCACTGAGCTACCCAGGCACCCCCAGACCCTGCATCTCTAACAAGTTTCAAATGCTCCTGCAGGTCAGTAGACCACACGAGGAGTCGACTGGTTTAATCTGCCGCAGGTTAGGGGCTTGAAAAGTCGCTCTGTAAGTCTAACTGAGTAACTCATATAAACGTTATATCACAGAGCTTCCCAGGATGCAGATGGTTGCAAATATTACATTTTGTTGACTGTTAGATGTTAAAAAAAAAAAAAAAGACTTTTCACATTTCAATATCTATGAAATGGGTGTATATCAAACAATAGATGGTGTCCTACAGTGATAAAACACAGTAGGCCTTTCTTCAAGATCAAAATATATATAGATCAATGTGGTTTCATCCTCTAAAAACTCCACACGCCTGTTTCTTACTTCATGTGTGTGAAGGAGAAAAACATGGTTTTAGGGATAGAGTATGGGTGTAAACGCAGTAAGCATAAGACAAAGGCCTGGTTTAAGGTCGAAGGACTAGAAAATTTGGTTCACATGGCAGTCTGTAAATTCCATCCCAGCTCCCTTGTGCTTCCTTGAGTACATCTGAACAAGCAAACCAAAGTGTTTATATTATATACATATCATACCATATCATATTATTAAATGATATACAGAGTCTGGTTCTCCTTCAAATGCAAGAGTGGCAATAAAATCTGTTTCTAAAGAGCAACCCCAGGAATGACTTTGCTTCACCTGTCACGGGTGCTCCAATTAGACTTGGAAGTCTCTTCTGGAACAATCCACATCTAACAGTTACTGAGCACTCATTACTTGCCATGCACCTGGCTAAAAGCTACACATTTTATCTCATTACATTTTCTCAACAATCTTTTAAAGTAGACATTATTCCTATAATGCACACGAGAAAACTGAAGCTCAGATTTGCTGAGACCCATAACTTGATTACAGAGAGAGGAAGTGGCAGAGGTGGAAATGAACGTACTGGTCCAAAGACCAATTTTAACGGCGTCTACACTCCCCTGCTTATAACTGCCCTGGGCGCTTGCTCCCTCCCTAGGCATAGCTCTTCTCCGCTCAACTCCCAAAGTCCGGGGAGGAATACCATTCCTCAGCAGGCTCCCAGAGCTTTCCACCAGACAAGGGTCGTTCACGGAACAGCTGCCAGGGCAGGAACCACCATCAGCACTTCACAGAAAGGGGAAACCAGGTCATAGGTTCCGGGCCGTAACCACTGTCAGCAGGTGGCAGGCAGTGGCCAAGTCGGCCCAAGGCCCTCCGCCCTCCTTTAGCACACTGAGCGGGACCCATGGGGACCTGCCGCCAGCTCTAACTTCAGCGCAGAGACTGCGCCAGGCCAACGGGAGCCCCGAGCCTCGGTTTCCCTTATGTAAGGCGGGACAACTCCCCCAGCAGTTTCAGTCGGTCTCCGCGGCGAACCGGTCCACCTACCAGCACCAACTTCCCGACCCTTTACATCCCACCCCTCCCCTGCACACAGGTCTTCAACCTCGCTTACTCTTCATCCACCTGCCGCTTCCGGTGCGTTCTGATGACGTTTCCTGCGGGCGACCCTCACTCTGCTCCCCTGTACTGTAGGCGGGGTAAGGCCAGAAACCTCCAGTTGTGGTTCGGGCGTGTGGACTGCTTGTGAAGAGCTGAGGTAGAGCGGAGCCAGCCGACCCGAAGAGGACTCCGGGGACTTCGGGTATCAGGGGACTACGGAAATGGGACAAGGATGGTGGGAATGAGGTCCATGGGGTCGCTCATCAGCCGTCTCTACAGAGTAGCCGAGCCACTGAAGTTGGGATGGACGGCTTAGGCTCTAGTTTTGTCCTGCTGCTAAACTAGCTGTGTGACGTCGCTTAAGGCACTTCCCATCTCCAGCGTCCCTTTTCCCATCACTGTGAGTGGGTTGGGCCTGATAGTCTGAACGTTTTCTTGAGACCCAGAATGTTAGTTTCTGTCAGGAAGTAAAAAACCAAGGATCTGATGCCCATTGTTCTGGGGAAGGGTCAAGGATTGCGGCTGGAAGCCCAGTGCAGACGTCTCCGAAGTGACCTGGTGTGCAGCACTGTGCAGCCTTCATTTCTGCGGAGTGCGGGTCAGGAGAGCGGTATAGCCCGTCCACTTTAAGTCAGTGGGTCAAACTTCCAGTAAGGTAAAAAGTCCTTTTAAGGGAGCAACAATTGTCTAGGAACCCTGAGGTTTTATGTCCACAGATCCTAGTTTGGGAAACATTGATTTAATTGTTTTTGGGTGGTGACCTTGAGCCATTTTGATCTTCAACATAGGACTGCAGTCCCTTGAATTCAGTGGCTATCATGTGGCTTGTCCTGGTGAACGTGAACCTTGTATGTATATTAACATCGAAGTGGAATTACACACTGCACCTTTAAATGATTGTGTTTGGAGATGCCAGAGAATTAATTAAATGCATTGCAATCACAGGGTGAACTTCAAAAATTCAGATTCCTCAGCATCCCTGGAGATTCTTACTTAGTACATGCGTCCTAAAAATCTGTATTAACAAAAACAAAAATGTTCCCAGCTTATTTTGTGAGTAATTAGGTTTCAGAACTATATTATACATTTATAGAACTTAATATAATAGAACACCACACACCATTAAACAGACTCTACTTTTTTAAAAGATTACAAAATATTAACACAAAACTGAATGTATACAGAAAAAGGATTGGAAAGACATACTACTATATAGGAATTTTTTAGTGTCTGTATAAGTGAGAGATTCTTTTTTTCTTCTTGTCTGTTTTCTAAATTATATTTAGAGAAAATAAGAACTTTCTTAATTTTTTTTTCTTTTTACACTTACAAATGATAAATTTTCAAATATGGCTACTCATGTGTTTTCCCACTTTGTGGAAGTGCCATAGGAAGTCAAAGGTCAAGACCATCATTGAAAATGATCAGCTGCCTCCCTTTGAACAACTTGTGAAAGACTTCACATGTGCAGAAAAATGGATAGAATTCTGTAGTGAACACCCATATGCTTTTAAGTTCTGCAGTTCATATTTTGCTCTCTTTGGATGGGTTTCTTTTGATTGCTGCTTTAAGACAGTCAGGCTGTTAGGTTGAGTACTCAAAAGTCTCGTATTCAACCTCAAAAGATTAAGCCTCAACTACTACTAAATAAGTGGATGCATGGAGGGCCCCAGCCTATGACCCCCCCCCACCACCCCCAAGCTCTAGCCATAATGCCAGGGTCGTAACCAACCTGGAGTGTCCCAGGACCACCTTGGCCATGCTTGCTCCACTTTCAGCTGTTCTTCGAAGGTAGCCCCAGTACGGAGTACCTTGGAACTCATACTAGCTCCAGGTGTTCTGTCAGCATGGCCCCATGGAGCATCACAAGGATACCTGGCCTATGCTGACTCCCATCTCCAGGTGTCCTGCCTAGTTGGCTCTGGTGTAGAGTCCCTGGAACTTTTTGGCTGATATCTGCCTCAGCTCCAGCCATCTCACCAGGATCACCCTGGAAAAAGTGCCATGAGACCTCCTCCTGTTCTATAGCCAGCCAGCCAGTGTTGTCAGGGACATGCAATTTACACAGGAAACATTCCTATACAAGGCTACTCCTTCAAAATGGTAGAGTAAGCTGTTCTGCTTAATTCACAGAAACAAACATAAACAGTCAAACAAAACGAGGCAGAAGAATATGCTCCAAATGAAAGAATAAGATAAAACTTCAGTAAAAGAACTGAATGACAGAGAGATAAGCAATCTACCTGATACAGAGTTGAAAGTAATGGTCACAGTCATGCTCCCCAGACTTGAGAGAAGAGAGGATGAACTCAGTGAGGACTTCAACAAAGAGATAGACAATGTAAAATAAAATCAATCACAGTCGAAGCATAGAATAACTGAAGTGAAAAATACACTAGAGGAGAGGCACCTGGGTGGCTCAGTCAGTTTAAGTGTCTGCCTTCAGCTCAGGTCACGATCCCAGGGTCCTGGAATTGAGCTCCTCGTGTGGCTTTGTTCTTAGCAGGGAGTCTGCTTCTTCCTCTCCCTCTTCCTCTGCCCTTCCCCTGCTCATGTGTGCGCTCGCTCTCTCTCTCTCTTTCTCTCAAATATATAAATAAATCTTAAAATAATGAAAATTAAACTAGAGGGAATCAATAGTAGAATAGAGGATGAAAAGAATGGATCAGTGACCTGGAAGACAAGGTAGAGCATCTAAGCTGAACAGCAAAAAGAAAAAAGAATTTTAAAAGTGAGGATAGGTTAAGGGACCCCTGCTGGGACAACAGCAGTCTTTCTAACATTCACATTAGAGGGGTCCCAGAAGAAGAAAGTGACAAAACTTAAAGGAGCTTTAACCACTAAACCAGCCTTATAAGAAATGTTGAAGGGACTTCTTTATACAGAAGAAGAAAAGCCATATGTGGAAATTAGGGAATTATGAAAGGAAATAAACTTCATTGATAAAAGCAAACATATACTACAGGTCGTACATCCATCACTTATGAAACTGGTATGAAGTTTAAAAGACAAAAGAGTAAAATGAGGGGCACCTGGGTGGCTCAGTGGGTTGAGCCTCTGCCTTTGGCTCAGGTCATGATCTCGGGGTCCTGGGATCAAGCCCCACATTGGGCTCTCTGCTCAGCAGAGAACCTGATTCCCCCTCTCTCTGCCTGCCTCTCTACATACTTGTGATCTTTCTCTCTGTCAAATAAATAAAATCTTTAAAAAAAAGAATAAAATGAATTATTTCTAAAAAAATTAGCTAAGGATTTTGCAAAATAAAAAGATGTAAAATATAACCCAAACAGTGGAAAGGTGGGGGGTAAAAACATAGTGCTTTTAAAATGTGTTTGAACTTAAGCAAATATTAGCTTAATATAGGGTGATATATACTTAGCATATTCTATATGAACCCCATGGTAAAAAACAAAACCTATAATAGACAAGCAAAAAAGGAAAGGAATCCCAACATAACACTAAAGAAAGTCATCAAACCACAAAAGAAAGAGTAAGAAAAGAAGAACAAAGAACTCAAAAACAACTATAAGACAATTAACAAAATGGTAATAAGTACATGCCAATCAATACTCAAATGGACTAGATGCTCCAATATAAAGACATAGGGTGACTGAGTGGATAAAAATACAAGGGGGGGGGGCAAGATGGCAGATGAGTATGTGACCTCATTTTATCTGATCCCTTGAATTTAGCTGGATATCTATGAAACCATTCTGAATACCCACAAATTCAGCCTGATATATATGAAAACATATCTGGAATGCTGAGCAGTAAAATTACTGCTTTTTGCAAGGTAGGAGGTGCAGAGTCATGAGTATGTGGAGAGAGATCAAAGATAAACAGAGTGATGGAATCTCCATCAGCTGGCTACCAGAAATTGATATAACACGAGTGCAAAATCTGAGCCCTTAGAAATCTGCTCCAGTGAGAGACATTCCTTTCTGAAAGGGGCTCAGGGGATGAAAATGGCAGAATTCTAGGTGGGTCATTGTGGTCTCAGGATTCCAGGAGACAGAAAGAAGAGAGGTGTCTGAGCCGGTAGAGTGTCCAAGCAGTGGAGTGGGGAAACTGGTTATGGTGAGAAAGCCCAGGAAGGATTCTAAGCTCTGTTCACAACAAACTGTAAGCCAGGCCAGTAAGGGGATTGCTCTTTGGCTGAGCACCCTGAGAAGGATTGGAACATGTGGGCCATATACCACCTCAAGGGAGGGACGAAATGGCTGTGCTCTCAACTTCGTAAGAGTGCTCAGGGTGGTGGAGGCCTCACAAAGGACAACAGGGTGGCACCCAGCCGTGATCTGGGAGCAGCGGAGCAGGGTGTGTACACAACCTCACTTGCAGTTGCAAAGACACAAAGCAACTAATGCTCACAGGTCCCTGGGAAGATCACAGTGGGCATGAACTGTGGGAGTCTGCAGAGTATAGTACTCTCAGAAGTGGAGATGGTTTGACCTGAAGGGTTTATTGAAGTTGGGGGGAGATCATGATCTTGTGGTTCTGGGCTGGTGATCTGGGCATGGCCATTTTTGCTTTGACCGTCTGAACAGGGGCATGGAAAGTCGCCAAGGAAACAAAAGCCACACATACAACCAGGTCACATTGATCCCATCCCCCTGAGAAGGAGTGGGGCAACTCACCCAGGCAAAGACTCCTGAGAAGCAGAACAGCAGGCCCCTCCCCCAGAGACAGACTGGAAGAATGGGCAAATGACAAGTTTATAGATCCCCAAAGAGTGTAAAACTCCAGCAGCAGGGATGAAGAATATATTGAGCTCCAGGTGTTTCCTAACAACTCATTTATCCTTCAGTCTAAAATTTTCCATATATATATATATATATATATATATATATAATTTATTTATTTATTTGACAGACAGAGATCACAAGTAGGCAGAGAAGCAGGCAGAGAGAGAGGAGGAAGCAGGCTCCCTGTGGCGCAGAGAGCCCGATGCGGGGCTCAATCCCAGGACCCTGGGATCATGACCTGAGCCAAAGGCAGAGGCTTTAAACTACTGAGCCACCCAGGCACCCCCCATTTATTTATTTTTTTAAACCTTT